CAGGCTGGAAGAATGATGGAGTGACGGTCCTCCCTGCTTTGATGCCTTGTGTCAGGATGAAGTCGTGCATTATATTTATGTATGCAGCATTTTTAGGGCTAATATTTAATATGAGGTACATATATTTCACCTTTAGAAAGCGGTTTGTGGAGCTCTGTTTGCCATCTGGCCTTTCATAACCTGATAGAAAATGTAGCTAGATTTTTTTTTTTTTTTAACCTCACTAGTAAGTCCACAAGCCATTCATTGACCTTTGTTACCACAGGAAAGAGCATTTAAACAAACGTTCTCTCACAGTTGTTGAATGTGTATTTCGTGATAACCACCATGAAGTTCAGAGCCTTAAGAGATGAAGAAACCGAGATGAAAAGATATGTATTCAGGAAGGCTAGACTTCACAGTTGTTGTATAATCCTTTATCCTCTCATTGGTACCCGGACTCATGTACCCACCAGAACAAAAGGCCCTGAATTTAAAATGGTGAGAGCTGGGGACAGTCTGGTTGGCAGCACATTTTATGGCCCAAAGGCTGTGTCAGGACTCCGTTTGATACCCTTTATTCCATCTGACAGATGAGAGGTGGGTTCTATGGAGGGGGAAGTCATTATCAAGGCGAGGGCAGCATTAGATCAAAAGTAAGCAGCGATCAAACATGGTAAAGGACTGTGGAAAACAGGCTTTTTCTCTGCCCTCGACACCTGCCTGATCACTGAGGGGAATTGTCTTCACGTCTCATGCTGAGCGTGTTCCCTTTCATGTATAGTGACGAGTACTGACGGGGAGACTCTTCAGAATTTGTGAAGATGCTTTAGTTACTTTACAGGATACAAAATATAATGGAAAGATCGTACTTATCTGAAATATTTTATTTTTGGATGAGTACTGCACCATGCCGACTGTGCGATTATCTTTTTCCAAGTATTAAGATGTGTCGGTTAGTTAAACTCTAACAGCTACACATAGCTCGATCACCCTCATCCGTTCTATGAAGGATTTATTAACAATGTGAGACTCTCATTATTGAATGGTCTGGGCCAAAACGCAGTAAGATCTGTGCTATTGATGCCTGAAAACGGTCACATTTATTTAATATTGGCCTTTGTGTTCCACTCTAATTCAGGAAACACATTTTTACTTTGAGATCTTATTAGTAGTATTATTTTCTTGTCAAATGCTCATGTTAAAACTACATTTTTTTTTTTATTTTTTTTTTAGACATATGAAAGAAAATAAAATCTTTTTGTTTTACCCTTAGACGTTTTAAGATATTTTTTTTATGTGTTGGTAACACACACCTGAATTTCACATCACGTCTTCTGCTAAAATCTGAACTGTCAAAACAGGATTACTGCATTTGAAAGTATCCCCCATTACTACAAAGTGTCTGATAGGAGCCACATTCATTCACATTGGTTTGCTTGCTTTGTGAGTTGAACATTTCTTGGGACTTTTCTCATTATGACAGTCTATCTTTCCTTTACTCCAGCAAACACTGTTTTACTTTTTTGAGAAGTTCATCTGGAGTAAGTAATTAAGACACCTACCTCTGCAGCACATTTGAGGTCAGTCTCTGCAGTCTTCCTGTAATGCAGCTCGCTCTGTAAGATAACTCCATGCCCAAGCATTTCTTGCATTGGTCTCTTCTCACATGTCATGCCATTTAAAACCTGTATTAAAAAAAATAAAATAGAAAAACTCCTGGTTAACTTTTAGCTGTTCGGTTTTGCAAATGTCCTGTGCATAACCGTTCTTTAAAAAAGACACGTTTGTTTTTCAGTTATGCCAAACTCTCCTATGTAAAGAGATTTTAGTGAATTACTGAGCCTTGATCTGGTTCACTGACTGTACAGATAGCACACATACTGCTCTGAGTGAAGGTGTCTAAACGGGAAGCATGTGTAAATACACTGTAATGTAAATTCATCCGAAAAAAATTCCAAGAACGCATCAAGTAATTTTAAGAAATGTTCCTGCATGGTTCGTCTCAGTAACCATTTCTTCATTTTGCCCCAGTGTGAGCATGATTTCTGTATAATGACGTGTCACAAGGAAGTGTGAAATACATTTTGTCATCCCTTCAGAGACACCTGTTGTTCGTGTTTAGGACCCACAGATTTTTGATTTGTTTTGGTATTCTTCATAAAACAAGTGTATTAATGACTATAGTCAAATACTGCTATTTCATAGCATGCATTTTTATATTTAATTTATTTCGTACATCCTTTTTATTATTGCCTCCGATAGTGATACATGCTCGTTTTTCCAAATAAGTAACTGGATGCTTGTTTGTTACTGCAATTTTGTTTGGTCTCGCTGAGAATTGGTTACATTTTTCAGTTGTGGTGTAATAGGTAGTTCAGTTTAAGGGGTCACCCAGACAACTGAAGCAAGGCGAGCATATGGCATGTGAGAACAATCTCTACGCTGAGCTTTCATTGTGAGTAAATAGAAAGGGGAGAGAAATTAACTGTGAATCAAATGTCTCACTGTTCGTACACAGACTACAACAACGAGAGGATACTAAGGTCTGGTTATGAGCAAAAGTACCCAACACATTGTGTAGTTTAACAAAAAAAATGCTTACAATGGTTTTTTTTTTTGTTTGTTTGTTTTTCACCTTGTATTGCCAGTCTGTTGATTGGCCACTGACCGATAACGGACTGGACACTTGTAAATTTGGCTTAGAATAGGTGGGAACGCTGGGAGTTGTACTTTGTAACTGTCCATCCTTACGGTGAATTATGTCTTCTTAACACGTTTATAAATCCTAACATATAGCATGATATTATATTATACATTTAGGCAATATTAAACACAAAAAAAATCTCAATGTTCTTATTTTTACTTTACTACATTGTTTATTTTATTTACCACATTACCAAAACATTATTGCAATTTATTATACATTGAAATTTGCATGGTGTGCCACATTCTATGACGAAATACATGTGATATGGCATATGTTGGCTTTCATCCCTTCAAATGTCTAGTTTAGTCACGTGTTAATGCCATTTTAAGATTTGAACTCTCCTGCTATTATTACATAGTTTGAAACAGAAGTTTGATTATATTATGCATCAGAAAATAAAATGAGGGCAAGAATTATTCCCTTACTTCATATATGAGCATTTTAATTTTTCTGTTTTATACTGGCTAACCACATTTGTTAATCTTTATATTCCAAACCCTTACAGTGGAACTTCTGTCCAATACTAGTGAGCAGAAAATGACATTAACCTTTTGATTTTCTGTTTCCTGTTTCATAACGTCTTATGTTAGTTTTTCATGTCAATCATCATATGGTTGGCCATTCCATTAAAAAAAAATATATAAATACAAAAACTCCCTAAAAGCATAGTTTGATATTTAGATGTCACAGAAATACAAGTTCTAGCCACATGGGGGCAGTAAAAGCAGTGCTTAAAAGAGGCTGTCAGGATATTCTGAAACTGTATTTTATGTTACAATTATTTGTTAAAGAAAATGTGAAATGTGCTTTGTCATATGTGCAGAATTTGTTTAATTGAAATAAAGTAAATTTGTCCATTTAAAATTAGAGGCCACCTAATTGGCTAATTAAAAACAATTTAAGAAGAGTTAATTTGTAACATTGTCATAAAACAAATCTCATTATTCATTAAAATGTAATTTGGAGGCATTAGAACATAGGATTGTTGTTTTCTTAATGATGTTTAATTGGTCCTTAATAAAACAACTTATTAATGTATGTATGCTTTAGCACGGATATATTCAGTTTCCTTGCTGTTCTGCTGGTCCAATGGGGTCCAATGCCTAATTCTGCATTCTGCAACAGAATCCTTCCTTTACCCAACCATACTGTGCTGAAACCACTCAAGGATTTTGAAACTTTTAATACAAATGGCTTGATTAGTAGTTTTTACACAAGTAACGTTTAAAGTAATCTCGAGGCAGGTCTGTAGCTACAATCAGAATTTAATGACAGAACAAACATTTAACCATTGCAATGCTGGAGGTTTCGAATGCAGCTTTACTGTTCCATATTACTCTGTGGGCTAATAGAGGGTTCTGTGAATTCTGATATATTTGCTTTTATAGTGTGTATGTGTTGTTTTACTGTGCTTACATATGTTGTATTTTTATTTGCTTTTGTTTGTATACATTACTATGAGAAGTATCTATTTGTGTACCTTACTAGTGCATTTTATATTATATAAAATTAATAGAGCAAATTACTTTTGTTTCATTGGGTGGATTGCTAGTTATTTTATTGCTAACTTTTCACCCCTCTATTTATTGCTTGTATTTATCTGCCCCAGCAATTAAGATGCTAATAGGAAATTTGCATGTAGAAGTCACATTTGTGTTTCCCTTAACAGAACATAAGACAGGATAATTCTCAGAAGGGTGTAGCTGGGAAAATATTAAGCAATTATGAGGTTTTACTTAAATCATGCTATTGATTTCTGTTTAAATATAATTGTAAGGGCATATTTCTTAATTAAAATTCTACATTGCAGGTCACCCTCTATAGAATTGCTTTTAATTAGGGAGAAATTACACTAGAAGTAATATTAAAGAACATAATTATGCCTTAACAATCTGTTATATTCCTGAAACAATATTTATTGGGCCAACCCTCATCTGTTGTAGATGTAGATATTCTCTAAGTGAAGGCTCCAGTCTTTGGACATCATGCTGGACTGTGAAGCTTTAATTTTATTATTTCAGGAATACGAAATACATTTGCTGGTCACAAACAAATGTGCTGTGGAACTTTGCGACGATAACATATGTTTTAATCTTGAGCCTCATGGAGACAAGGTGACAAGGACAGGGAGTTGGTCCTATGCTGTGACCTCCCTTCTAGAGAAGGAATTTATCCTGAGCCCCCTTTAATCCGTGTTCCACCCCTTTGCGTGGGTCCCGACCCCCACGGGACGTGAAAGTCATGTTTGCGTTTGGACGGGGGTTTGCCTTTGGATTTCTTGGCTTTGGTTTTCTCGCCTTTCCAGTGGCGTTTAGGTTGAGATCCGTTCCCTGGAGGAGTCAGAGTCCTCTGAATCTGCCACGTAATGGGCCCTTTTGGATATGGGCTTTGCGGTGTCATGTTCCGTCAGTAACGTTTTGGAAAAATCCTTCTTCATAGAGGCAGCTACCGCTGCGGCAGTCATGGCTTGCAAGTCTGATGAAGTCTGTGTCTCTTCCATGGTCACTTGCCACAATAACTCGGGGCTCACCTGGTAGCACTAGAGTGTGATGGCAGGAGTGTATTGGCACGGAGAGTAGGAGAGGCCTGGAGACCAGGATTATTTACCTGTAATAATAGCACCTGGTAGGCCGGTACAAGCAGATGGAGAAGGTTATGTAAATCACTGGGGCTCACCAAGGAGATCGGAATCCTGCATGAACAATTCTGTTCAGCAGCACAGAAATGGGGCTCAGAGTAAGGGATAAACCCAACTGCACTGAATCAACCCAGAGTGCAGAGCACTAACCTGGACCTGGTCCCACTGAAGTCCACTGAAAGGGAGTGCTGAAGTAGGCTCTGAAGTGTGCAGAAGTAAAATAGCGGGAAAGCAAGCATCTCTCCAGAATACGTGAGGGGAAGGTGTTTGTGTGCCGAACATGTGCACGGAATAAAAATAAAACGTGCAAATGTCTAGTTAAGCTTGGCGTTCGTATGGAAAAATAAAGCCGGCCGCAAGTGCCTGGAAGCAAGGCGTTCAAAGCTAACATGCCGAACACCTGGGGCGTTCATCTAATGAACGCGACTCTTGTGTACGCATGCCTGGAAACAGGCTTTCGTAAGAGAGTGGGGCATTCGGTTCCCGAATGGGGTAGGATGAAAAGACTTGCGCAATGCGGAGAGAGGGGCCCACAGCGCTAGGGAACTATACTGGGGACCCGGGAAAGCAAGGTCCCTCAAAGGCAGAGCAACAAAGGCCAGCAAGGAGAGCCCTAAAGACCCCAGAAGTAGAATGGGGAAAAACCTGAGGTGAAAACAAGTAGGAATAGGGAAAGACCTCAGAAGGGAGGTAATAGTAGCCACCCGAGGGTGGGTAAAGTAGGTGAATTAAGTGTAGTAAGAACAAAATTCCAATAACAGACTAAGAAAAAGTGTAACTAAGGTGAGTAGAGGACAGAGAGAGGATCACCAAAACTCTGTACTTATCTTGTGATGGAGCAGCAAAGAAAGAGGAAGCGCTCTAGTGAGAAATGCCTCTTGTAGCCTATGCTTGTATGTGATTGTTTTTCATTTTTCTCATTACTTTTCCTTTGCTGCTATGGAGTTAGTAAAGAAAGATTATGCAAAATATGAAGCCTCCTGTCATGGGGTAAAATTGTAAATATTGTTTCTTTATATAATTTTCAACCACTCAATTACCACTCTGCCATCAGGATAGTGGTAAGATTATATGCAGTGATTTATACCCAGTGATGCTTGTAACAACAAACTGGCAACGTTATTCTCTAAAATAAGACGTGCAAAATAGCTAAAACCTTTCTCAATTTCTGTTCCTCTAACTTCACTGTAGTTACAGCTGAATTTTACCATTATGTTCAGAGCTTAATGAATAGACACCTTAGCCTGTTCATGTATTCACAAAGATGTGTATTATTTAGGGCATTGAGGCTGACACTTTGAACAAAAGCAGAAATTAATACACAGAATATTCTGTATTGGTTGATTGGTAATGCTGGCTGTGTTTTATAGGCATATTTCCTTCGAGCTACAGAAAGGCAGCAAAGCTAAATTATAGATTTGTACTTGAATATTGTGTTAAGGAACAGAGAAAGAAGCTTTAAAGTTTGGCAAATCTAAGATTGGAAGTTTATGACTAATACATTTTCATTTGCCAGGCGACATGCATACAATTAATACAAGCAGAGCCATATACTGTACATTTCCTTGGCTTATGAAGGAAAGAATACTGCGAAATGTGATTAAATTCACTTTTAACAAATCGGTATTGTGGTGTAGTACTTTCTCATGTTTTGGAGGTCTGCGAGACTAGTCATTGATGCTGATTTTATAAGACATTAAAAGATGTTAATATCGTTGGAAAATTGCCACACCGCAATAAGCATAGATGTGTATCTTCCTCCTTTCACCCCCTCATTAGTATTAAATAAATATATTCTCCCTCCCTTTCCTCCCCCCCCCTCTAGTAAATGCCTAAAATTAGCTCTAAGCCCAGAACAATTTGCATGGACAAAATATTGTTGGCATGGCTTTTTGAATTGTGTGTTGTGTTGTTTATTCTTGTTATCCCTGTGTGGAATGAAATTTAACCCCTTAAGGACACAGTTTCAAAAGCTTGTCTTGCACTTAAGGACACAAAACATTTTCACATTTTTTGCTGTTTGCGTTCAACTGCAATTTGCATTTTACTATTTTATTGCACCGACACATATTATATACCGGTTTTTAACCCCTTCCCGACCGAGGACGGTTCAGGACCGTCATCGGGATTTTCCCATTGCGGACCGATGACGGTCCTGAACCGTCCTAACGGTTTCCGTTACTTACCTGATCGCCGTCGTTCCCCCGGCGGCGATCAGCGTGGCTCCGGTTGTGGGGAGACTGCCTGCAGCCCAGACAGTCTCCCCACACTGATTTAGGACCCCTGTGGCCATGTGATCGCTTAACACAGCGATCACATGGTCACAATAGGTGTCCATAGTGTCTGCCTGCAGGGGGACTGCCTGTGCTGACAGGCAGTCTCCCTGCATGTGTAAAATCAAAAAATAAATTAAAGTTAGTGTTAATAAAAAAAATAAAAATAATTATATATGTGTATATATGATATATAGACATATATTATACCTATATAATATATGTCTATATATCATATATATAATGCCATACTAAGTGTATTTTTATATTAATATGTACTTACATTAATATAAAAATACACTTATAATTAAATTACACACGTATATATATAATATATATAATAACTATATATATTGTATATATATATTATTATAAAATATAAATAATAAGTAATTTAAATTAAATAAAAATTTTTTAAAATAATAATAAAAAATTTAAAAAAAATTATATAGCTATATGAAATTTTATTCTAACTGTATTTTAAAATTAATATATATATATTTATATCAAAATACACTTAGAATGAATTTGTATATATATCTATATATATAAAAATAAATAAAAATAATACGAAATATACATATGTCCATATACAAAATTACATAAATAATTATATAAATATACACGTAGACTTCAAATATATAAATATGCATATATATTTAAATTCTACGTGCGTATTTATGTAATATTTTTACATAATTCAGTAATTTTATTGATTGCAATTTGAGGGACCTGCCTGCCAACCCAGGCCGAAATTCCAGAGAATTTAATTTGCTAGCACTGTATTTTACCCTGTAACGTTCTACGACACCCTAAAACCTGTACATGGGGGGTACTGTTTTACTCGGGAGACTTCGCTGAACACAAATATTAGTGATTCAAAACAGTAAAACATATCACAGCGATGATATTGTCAGTGAAAGTTACTTTTTTTGCATTTTTCACACACAAACAGCACTTTTACTGATGATATAATTGCTGTGATACGTTTTCCAGTTTTTAAACACTAATATTTGTGTTCAGCGATGTCTCCCGAGTAAAACAGTACCCCCCATGTACAGGTTTTATAGCATTTTTGAAAGTTACAAGGTCAAATACATGGGTCAAATATTTTTACATTGAAAATGGCCAGGTTGGTTACGTTGCCTTTGAGAGCGTATGGTAGCCCAGGAATGAGAATTACCCCCATGATGGCATACCATTTGCAAAAGAAGACAACCCAAGGTATTGCAAATGGGGTATGTCCAGTCTTTTTTAGTAACCACTTGGTCACAAACACTGGCCAAAATTAGCGTTCAATTTAGTTTTTTTACTTTTTTCACACACAAACAAATATGAATGCTTACATTGGCCAGTGTTTTCGACTAAGTGGCTACTAAAAAAGACTGGACATAACCCATATTGAATACCCTGGGTTGTCTACTTTAAAAAAAATATGTACATGTGGGGTGTTATTCAGAGATTTATGACAGATAATAGTGTTACAATGTCACTATTGATAAATTTTAAAATGTATGTTTTGAAACCGCAATATCCTACTTGTACCTATAGCCCTATAACATGCAAAAAAAAGCAAAAAAGCACGTAAACACTAGGTATTTTTAAACTCAGGACAAAATTTTGAATCTATTTAGCAGTTTTTTTCATTCGCTTTTGTAGATGAGTAAAAGATTTTTCAAGTAAAAGTCAAAAAACATGTATTTTTTTCAATTTTTCATCATATTTTTTATTTTTTTTAAATTAAAATACATGAGATTATATAAATAATGGTATGTAAAGAAAGCCCCTTTTGTCCTGAAAAAAACAATATATAATTTGTATGGGAACAGTAAATGAGAGAGCGGAAAATTACAGCCAAACACAAACACCACAAAAGTGTAAAAATATTCCTGGTCGCAAATGTACAACATCGCAAAAACAGTCCAGTCCTTAAGGGGTTAAAGGACAAAAAAGGCTTTAAATTGATGTAAAATATACATATGTAAATGCTTATTTATTATAAAAAAAAATACAAAAAAGCCCAAAAATTAACACACATTTTTTTTTTCTTCTTCAGTTTTTGCAATAATAATGTGTGCATAATTTGTGCAGGTTAAGGAAAGTAATTAAAAATAAATTAATTTAGTTGTTCTGATTTACAGAATATATAATGTGTTTAGGATTTTCAGTTTTTTTGGGTAGTTACAGGTCACAAAACACAAGGAGTAAAATAAACTTTTAATGTGGAGCGATTTTAGAATCTGGTATGTTTGTCTTGTAAGCTTAATAGCCATAAAAGAAAATAAAATTGCCACACAACAGTATATATTTATATAAAGCAGACATCACAGGCTATGTAACATTATTTTTACAGTTTTTACGTAGCCATTTCACTGCCAATCCCTGCTAAATATTGGACTAAAAAATTTTTTGACACACAAACGTATAACAAAAAACTTCTCATGTGTATTTCGGAAAGTTGGTGTGTGCTATTCCTGTACAAAACCTAATTTTTTTGTTCAGCTACATCTGCTGATACCCCCATTGTATGTCTTTGGCACTATTTTGTGAAGCTACAGTCCATTTCGGTATTTACATTTCGGTGTCCAT